AGGGTTACAGGCATGTGCCACCAGTCCTGGCAGACTAGATTTTTATCTATCGTTTACTGTCATATTCCCAGCATATGGCGTATCTACATGGTTAGATAAGCTAGCACCTCTATGTACCAGACACTTTGCTCCTGTTTATATGCAAGATCTCATTTCTTTTTTCACATAAAGAGATGTTTTTATTTCTTTTTTAAGGTAATAAAAGTGGTTACTTTCTCTTCTTTCCTCTTTCTCATCCTTTTTCCTTTTTATCTCTTTCTGAGATAGGAATCTCATAGTGTTGCACAAACTGGCCTTGAATCCCTAGGCTCCAGTCTCAGCCTCTGGAGTAGCTGGGACTACAAACAAGTTCCACAGTGTTTGATGGATTAAGCATTCATCAAGCATTTTTTTGAGACAGGATCTTGCTCTGTAATTAAGACTGTCATTGAACTCACTATGTACTCCTCACTGGCCTCAAACTTGTGGGGATCTTCCTGCCTCCCAAGTGTTGGGATTTGTGGTGGTTGATGCATTTTGTTAACTTGAGATTTGATTCTGGATTTCATGTCCTGGGCAGTGCGGGCCCCCACCGTAGGGCAGGGAGGACCTGCTCGAGTGACTCAGCACAAAAAGGGTATATAAAGGAGTTGAGGAAGGTTCCTGCGCCCACTTCTTGGGAGGAGTTCTGGTCTTTGCCATATCACTTTGCAGCCATGCCACTTCAGAGGAGCTTGCTCTCCGCAGCCACACCACTTCGGAGAAACTCTGGTCTTTGAATTCAACATGGAAGGAAGAGAGAGAGAGAGTCTTGATCGATGTCGCAGCTGTTGCTCCTCCTCTGCTTTGTTGTTTTCTGCTGCCATGAACTGCCCTTTGCTTTGGAGCCAGCAGAGTATGGACTGAAACCTGCACTAAGTGCAGGCTAAATAAACTTTTCCTTCCTTCATTTTGGGTGTTGATATTTTATCCCAGCCACGAGTAAAAGTAACCAAAACAGAATTAAAGTTTTTTTTTCTTGATACAGGGTCTTTGTACATCAAGCCTGGGGTTCTGGGGCTGGCAGGGCATGTAGTATAGGGGATCACATTCAGGTCTTGTGCTTGCCAGGCAGGCACTTAGACTGCTAAGCTATTTCACCAGCCTGGATTAAACTTTTAACAAACTAATAAATTGGATGATTGCATAGTAAGTTGTAGAGCCAGGCTCTAGTATGTATTCCCTCAAACGTTAAGCCCTTCTAATATAATATAGTATTCAAATTTCTTAACTAAATGGCATAGTTTGGGAGTTTTGTAAGGCAAACAATATAATACAGGACATTATTTTATAATGAATTACCCAAAGAATCATATACAAAGAGTGCAGGAAATCTTTCCACTCACTAAAGACCGAAGGCTCCAGCTGAAGGACTGTATCCTAATATTCTGCCCTGAGTCCAGTTGAAAACCTAGAGCTTATAACAATGCCTCCCACAAGCCCAATTGGAGGCCTACAGCCCATGGCAGTGTCTCATGCAGGACTGCTTCATGGATCTGTAATTAGAAGGCCCACAGGTCAGTAGCGGAAGCTAGAAAGTTTATGCCAGTGGGATGAAGGATCTGTGCTAGCAGGCTGAGGGATTGCACTGGAGCCAGGAAGCAATACTCAAGGTAAGTACCAGAGCTCTCTCCAACAAGTACCACAGCCATCCTTAAGGACAGTAAGGTCCAGAGTTCCTCTAGTGATGAGGAAAGCTGAGTCCCATCAGGAAAGCCAATGGCACAAGCTTCTCCAGGAGACTGAGCAGTGTACCATCCTCCCCTTCAGAGGCAGGAAGTAATGCTCAAGATGAGGGCCAGAGCTCCCACCAAATGAACCACAGCCATTCTCAGTGAGAACAAGGTCCTGAGCTCTTCCTCTAATGAGAACAACCAATTTCACCAGGAAAGCCAGCATGACAAGGTCCCCCCAGCAGAATAGCCCAGGAGAGCCAGCAGCATTCTTAATAGCCTTTCAACAGCTTCTCCAGTTCTGCCTTTTATGCTGCTGGCAACAATACTCATGTATTGTACCCATCACAACACTGTTTAAGTCAGCTAGGTATAACAAGTTGGCCACCAATCCACTACACTGAAGATTCAAGACTTCTAAACCAGAAAAGACCCTCAACGTTCTCTGCTTCTATTTTTCTATCCAAAATCATTTGCTTCACTCATTGCCACTATATTTCCTACAGATTTAGCCCAAGCTAGAAATCTTATCCAGCTTTTGACTTGCATATTTACTGCATTATTCAGTATATTTCCAAAATTCTTCTCAGATACTACACAAAATGATTCCTTTTAGCTTTTTCAATATTTACCACATGGTTTGTAGGCTCTTGGTCACATAATGCCTGCTGTTAACTGTGTCCCAACCTATGTACCTTGGTTGACACACATAAATTCAACAAATGGAAGTGATATAATTATGACATAGAGACCACCATAGGTACAAAAAACAAATTTCAGAGCCCTTAACCTCTTACTTATCAAAAGCATAGTTTATGTTTTCTTTTGAGACAGTTGGGGACTTAAAAGTAGTTTTTGCCAAAAATCGTGACTCTTCCACTTGGGCCTAAAAATGACCAATAGTTAACTAAAACAAGATGGTCTACATCTCATCACAAATCTTGTTTTTGATGAGTAACAGTTAAGGTTCCAGGGTTGATTGGATCTTTGTCCCCATGATGGTCTCTATATCATGGTTATGCCACTTCTATTTGTTGAAGTCTTGTGTAAATCAGAATACAAGAGGTGAGAAATAGTTAACACAAGGCATCGCGTCACCAACAGCCTCTTAAACCATGTGGTAAATAGTGAAGAAGAGCCATTTATATCCTAAGTATTCAACAATAATTTGGGAAAGAGGTTGAATGTTGCACTGAACTTTGAGTCAAAGATCAAGTAAAATTTCTATAGGTAGTTTGTGCAAAATCTGGAAGAACTATAACCTCGGTCAAGTCTTTCTCCACTCTGCATACAAGACATGTTATTTTGGGAGTACCTGTAGCGGTAGATCAGTTGTGTCAACTTAAAAGTTAAAAGCTTAACTAAATAGGTTCAGCAATTCCACACCCTAAGGTCTGGTGGCCCCACCCTAGAGTGACTCATTACTTAAAGGATATAAAAGGGAACTGAGGGTTCCACCTTCTGAGGAGCTGTAGTCTTCCCAGTCAGCTTGGACATTATCTTCTGGTTTCTAGCACAGACTCTGTCTTCCACCTTGGATCCTTCAGTCTTCTGTCGCAGACCCATTGACTTCCTGACATGGATTTGCATGGAACACTGCAGTGAACTCCAAACCTTGGACTGAATTCTTCAGTCTCCACTGTGCAGACAGCCTCTGCATGCTTCCTCATCTGACTCGGTGGCTGACTGTCCTAAGCCAAGCTTACATTTATACATCTGGTGTTATATCTTCCTCCAGTAAAACCCTGACACAGTACCTATCATCCCTAAACCTACCTGGCCAATCTCATTACCCTTGAAGACCAAAAACATCTACATTCAGGAATTACCTTTGCCCTAAAGATTCCTATGGTCACCTTGGATTCCATCTGAGCTTCACATGACTGGAATTGTCCCTGAAGTCATGAAGATTCCTCCCACAAAGACTGAATTGCCCTTCAAGTTATGAGGATTTAATCTGAGCTATGGAAACTAGGACTGAGATAATGATCTATTGAACCAAACCACAACAAACAAGCATCCCATAAAACTGGTATCCAGGCTCCACTAAAGGGTCATTTTGATCCTTGTCATTAGCATGACCCTTTTGGTAGTACTCAGAGTCCTGTATCTTTCACCTTTCAAGTAAAACTTTTTCCTCAAAATTCATTATTTATTTTTAATTGCTATTATCACTAAAGCAAGAACCCATGCTAGATGGTAACAGAAGACATTTATTTTGTAGTCCCACCTAAAGGAGGATACTTGAAGTAGTTATCAGGAGTGCACGTTTATACGTTCAAGTCCTTCGGGCTGATTGAGCTGATAACAGCATTTTGGTTGAAAAGCCACACATACATAGTGTAAATTCAGCATGTAAAACAGTCATTGAAGTGCCTGCTGAAAACTGTAAAGGGGAACTAAGGAGCCCTGCTTTGTGGATGGGAGGAAGGTAGCAAGGGTTTCTGTCTCTGGGGTATAAAGAAGTGGTTTGGGCGCCCTGTTGTGCTTCACTGGCTAGGGCTGATTATTGCTGAGGATATGTCAAAATTTTAGTTTATCCGACCTGAAACAGGTCGGGCCCACTGTGAATGGTTAGTACTCTTCCTGGGCGAGGCCTCTGCCCTCCATCTTTGAGGGAACGGGAGTGGGCAGAGGGCGGGTTAAGACGCCGCGGGTGGTTCCAGGCCCCCCAGCCCCAACAGCCAAGTTTTCAAAAAGCCCGCGCGTGGGGCCCTAGGCCACATCCGTTGGGAACGGCCCACGCCTCCGCCGTTTCCTCTGTCGCCAGGCACCCAAGCGCTGAGGGGTGGGGCGAGAGGAGGCGTGAGGACAGCGGGCAGGCTCCGCACACACCGGCGCCCTGAACTGATCGCGAGGAGGAGCGCGCAGCAGCCCCTGAAAACGGAAGTGGGCGCGAGCAGTCGCGGTGATTGGCTGAGCCCGCACGTCTCTCAAGGGGCTGGCGCGAACGCCACTGCGGAGCTGGGCCCGGTGATACGAACCGGGGAGGGGCGCTATCACTGGGAACAGCCGCGGGGCTGGAAGGAAATAAATGGCGGGGGTGCGCGGAGGGCCAGGAAGGTTCCTTGTCGTGCGACACTGAGGCGCTCGGGAGTGGCAGCAGGGCGGCAGCACACGCCGCAGCAGCTGAGCAGGCCGAGGAGTTGAACAGACCTCGGAGGGCGGGGAGACCGCGACCGAGAGCGGCGCTGCGGCGCGGTGGGCGGGACTAACGGGAGCGAGGCGGGGATTGGCGGGCACCCCTGGGCTGCCGTACGTCGCTGGTGACGCACGCCTCGGGGAGGGTGCGCGCGCGTTCAGCGGCCTCTTTGTGTGGTGCCCAGATAGGGGAGCGGAGGTGGCGGGAGTGGCGGCCTCGGTTGTCTCGGTCTCCTCGGCTCGCCCTCTAGCCGGCACCTCTCCCCTCCCTCCCCCTTCCTCTTCTCCTTCCTTCCCTCCCCTTCCCTTTTCCCTTCCCCGCCGGTGGCCGGCGGTGGCGGCTCCAGCGGAGGCTGGGCCCAAGCTGTGTTAGAGGCCTCGGCGAAAGGTAGCGGCGACGGCGAAGCCTCGGAGCTCGCAGGGCGGGGGCAAGGCCCGGGCCGTGGAGATGGAGAATTCGCAGCTGTGCAAGCTGTTCATCGGCGGGCTCAACGTGCAGACGAGTGAGTCGGGCCTGCGCGGCCACTTCGAGGCCTTCGGGACTCTGACGGACTGCGTGGTGGTGGTGAACCCCCAGACCAAGCGCTCGCGCTGCTTCGGCTTCGTGACCTACTCCAATGTGGAGGAGGCCGACGCCGCCATGGCCGCCTCGCCCCACGCCGTGGACGGCAACACCGTGGAGCTGAAGCGGGCGGTGTCCCGGGAGGATTCGGCGCGGCCCGGGGCCCACGCCAAGGTGAAGAAGCTCTTTGTCGGGGGCCTAAAGGGAGACGTGGCCGAGGGCGACCTGATCGAGCACTTCTCGCAGTTCGGCACGGTGGAGAAGGCCGAGATCATCGCCGACAAGCAGTCGGGCAAGAAGCGCGGCTTCGGCTTCGTGTATTTCCAGAACCACGACGCGGCGGATAAGGCCGCGGTGGTCAAGTTCCATCCGATCCAGGGCCACCGCGTCGAGGTGAAGAAGGCGGTCCCCAAGGAAGATATCCACGCCGGCGGGGGCGGCGGCGGCGGCTCCCGGTCCTCCCGGGGCGGCCGCGGCGGCCGGGGTCGCGGCGGCGGCCGAGATCAGAACGGCCTGTCCAAGGGCGGCGGTGGCGGTTACAACAGCTACGGCGGCTACGGCGGCGGCGGCGGCGGCGGCTACAATGCCTACGGAGGCGGCGGCGGCGGCTCGTCGTACGGTGGCAGCGACTACGGTAACGGTTTCGGCGGCTTCGGCAGCTACAGCCAGCATCAGTCCTCGTACGGGCCAATGAAGAGCGGCGGCGGCGGAGGCAGCAGCTGGGGCGGTCGCAGTAACAGTGGACCTTACAGAGGCGGCTACGGCGGTGGGGGTGGCTACGGAGGCAGCTCCTTCTAAAAGATATGAAAATGCCTGGGAGTGGCTATTCTAGGGGTAGCTCTTTTCAACAGCCCAAGTGGGGTCAACTCCTAAATCCCCTCTCCCTCCCACCACCTTCCTCATACTGCCCTTGGGGGAGCCGCTGGTAAGGCTGCTTGCCCTGGGGGTGTTCCCCTATTTGCCTGCCACCTCTCTTGTCTCCTTCTGAAGATGGACTCGGCCCCACATACACATTTTGTGTTACAGTCATTGATGGACTCTATTTTTTTATTATTACTTGGACCTTGGTCGTTTTTATACTAGCAAAATGTCTTGTTTTAATTTGTGTTTTTTGGCGGGGAGGGAGTGAACTTGCTGATTGTAGCAAAACCTGGGCGGGGGTGGGGGGGTAGTTTACTTTGTTGTAAGTACTTGATAACTGGCTACAGCATTTTTTACGAAACCTACTTGGATTCCATGCCTGAAATTTGGAAGCATATGTACAAAAATCATTTTTACGTTTTATTTTTAATAAATCATTGTGTTTGACCGTACATGTCTAACATTTTTTTCTTAGGACCCATTCCATACCATCTTAGGGTTATTAGTTGAAGATATTTACTGTTAAATCTTGCTGTGTACTTTGAGAAACTTAAGAGGTCCTGTGAGTTTATTTTTCCTTTTTCTTGTCTTAGTGACATGTTAATTTTTAACCATTACAGGTAAAAATTTTAAAGTGGTGGATGTGGCTTTAAAAATTCTAAGTTTCTGTGCATCCATCTCTTGTATGTACTAAGCAATTTATCATCTTGACATGGTTGGGCATTTTTTTCTATGAGAATTTACTTAAATATGTACTGTGTAGTTTAAAAAAATAGTTTGTTAAGCATGTGTTTTCATTCTTATAAACTGTTTAAAAATTCTCAGATGGCCTACTTTATTCCTTATTGGTTTGTCTGTACTGGTCACAAATAAGGGTTATATTTTGCCCTCAAATGCATTTTTGTACTTCCAGAGCAGGTTTAAAACATTTTTTTCCTGTATCTGAACTGTTATCCTCATGGAAGTCCAACCTTTGTAGCACCGTCTACTGGCAGAAGGGCAGTATAGCTGAAGGCAGTTGGTTTAAAATTGTTTAGGACAGTTGCATCAGATTTAGAAGTTTGCCATGGAAGATCTGTGCAAACTTGAAAGTTACACATTTGCTTGTAACTGAAATGGGCCTCACAAGGATATAGCTATTACATTTGCCCTTCATGAGAATTGAAAATGTAAATTGCTATGCATAGCTTGGCTAATGGCCCCAAATTGCTATGACACCTAGTGAACCAGCTATGTATGATAACTTAGGTGCAAGTTGTAAAGCGAAATATCTGTATTCTGCTTGGTTAAACATGTATATTTGTAGCCCTTTCACGCAATAGAATTCAAGTTGTTGTTTATAAAAAACTGATATTAGGGGAAATTTTCCTTCTTGGATAGATATATAGAATAGCAACGTTTATGGATATTACAAATAAAGAATTCAATTATTTACATGATTGAGTGAGAGTATGTATAACCTGGTGGGTGGATTCAGAGTACTTACTGAAACTGAAGTTGATTTCATATTATAAAGAAATGTTTGACTTGAAAGCTTAAATTTAATACTTAGAAGCTGCTGAAAAGATGGAGTTTTAAAGTAAAAGTATTAACGATTTGTTTTTTAATCCTCATTACTGTATAATTCTTGGGGCCTAATTTTTGCCTTAATATTTTTAATTGTCCGGACTTTTTAAAGGGAGAGGTCAAGATTGTTAGGCTAGGTTCTTGGTTTACAGTAGTACTTTAAAGGCTTTGTATAAATATTTAAGTGGTCTTCTGGCAAATGGAGTTTTTGCACATTGAAGTAATATTAAGTGCAAGTTATGCTGTTTACTTAATTTTTTGTTTTTTGTTTTTTACTTTTAGTACTATACAAACTACGTGTGGGCTGCTTCACTTGATAATTTGACCTGGATTTTGGGGAGGACCTGAGGATTTGCTTAAATCTTTCATTGTTAAGTATTACTCTGCTTGACTTTTATTTACCTTTGGGGAAAATAAACATTTCTGTGGATCATTTGGAATTCATCTTGCAAAAGGATTGCAGTCATTTTGTGCTCCCTGTGTAGTGTCTTTTACAAAAGTGTTGAAAATGAACTTACATGAAAGGTCTTAAGTAGAAAAGCAGCCCACTTACTCGTGGTATATTCACACTTGTGTCCCTAGCTGTAACAGGTTTCTATAATCTAGGCGGGTGTTTAATGAAAGGAAAAAGCATAGTGATACTTAATCTTGCCTGGGTTCCTCTGGTCAGTTTTATGTGAACATTTTTGGTTTTTGGGTAAGGGAACAACTGGTTTTGATCCTTTTACTATGAGAATGTGAATTTTATTTCAAATTTTAAGTTTATGAAAGCAGGTGGTGCAGGATAGCTTAACAAAGTAAGAGGATCTTCTGTATTTACAGTATTTTTAAGGTGTAAATCCTGGAATTATTGAAAGGGCTTTAAAGGTGGTACTTTCAATTCTCTTAAAACACAAATAGTTAAGGTTTGTAATGCTGTCAAAGTCTTAGTGAATGTACTGATTGTTTCTTCCTATAAGTTGGTGATTTGGAATATAAATTCCAGTGTTTTTAAAAAAATATTAAAGAATTGAGATGTTTGAGAATTTGGCACTTATGGTTCTTTCAACCAGATGTAACAGTGTTTGATTTTTTATTTTTTAATTTTTTATTATTTTTCTTTTAAGTGGACTTACGTTTTGAGAGAATTTAAATTTTAAATTAGGCTTTGGAAGTCTGTGACTTTGGTAATTGAAAGTGGACAGGGTATTGGATTGGCTGGAGTAGAGCCACATCTCCACAATGTATAGATTTTACCCAAAAGAATAACTTGCAATTAGGGAAAGTTGTCCATTTTAGACACTTTATCAATGTAATGGTATAGTGACTGGCAAAATTTTCTTTTCAGTTCTATTTTGGTCTTTTGAAACAGCAATGGTGACTGTAAACCAGGGTGATAAAATTCCTTTTAATATGTTACTGCAGGTTACTCTAATATACTCTTGTCTCGTACATCTTCACTAAAAGTAGAAATTAAAGATTTTCAGTTGTAAAGTACCTTGAAACAGGTTAAATCTACCACCCCCAAAAGTAATTTCTACTTTACTTTAAAAATTACCTTGCATAACATTTGTATTGAGTTAAAAGTTGCAGAAAATTCCAATATTAGTAAAAAATTCCAATATTCAAATATTACTGTTCTTTGGGCTGGCATTTTTTAAGTAAATTAGAATCAGTAATAGCTTTGTAAACTAGACAAAAAGTAAGAATCCTATCAGTAAAGATAACCTGTTCTCTATAACCACTATTAGTTGTATATTCAGAGAGCTTTTTTGTAATTCACCTACATTAAGTTTTAAATACACATTTTTGTTTTATGTAAACATTCTTGGGCATTGAGATAAATACACCTAATTTGGATAGTATTCCACAGCATGTCTACCATATAAAATAGTCCTCTTAATGGAATTGAGATTCATTTTGTGGCTGTAATGGATAATAAAGGCATGGTTGGCCTTGTAAATGTTTCTAATCATGTGTACTTAAGTAGGCTACAGGGTTGAATGTGCTAGACAGGATGAAGCAGTTCTGTGTTGTCATATTTCTAGTAGAATATACAGGAATGTGCGTAATTTTTGTGTCTTCTAAAGGCTTAGGGTAAACAACTACAGAATATTGAAGCTCAATTATATACTAATCTGTGAAAAACACTGTATTGCTGGGCTTTCATTTATTTTCTCCAGTTCTGAAGAATACTTGCCAGTTTTTTTCAGGTCTACATTTGTCACTTAAGAATTATCTAAAGAAAAACTGAAGAAATATAAAACTTGCATATTTGCTTTGTGCTTTGTAGTAAATTTATTTTAGTCCTTAGTAATTCTATGAAGAGTTGTCCTTATTTTGATTATTGACTACAGGCTTACGGCAAGTACTTAGATTCTAAGATGTAGTTTTTGAGAAGATATAGGGATTTTTAAGCTTAATTTTTAGTAAGTCATCTTGTAAAAAGTATTTTCTTATTTCTTCGTATCTGTAGATGACTCATCTTTCTAGTTTTTTTCTAGATCTTATTTGCATGGATACTCTTTCAGAGCAAAAATGAGATCATTTTATATATCTGTATAATACAAGTGTGTTTTAATATATGATACATCTTTACCTGGGTGTAGAGCTCTATCACTTAACTATATGGTCATTTATAGTCTCAGTAGACTGTAATTTAATGATTAGAACATTTCTAGGTTTTCTTTTGGTTGTAATTTCAAACTCCTTTTGCAGGACTTATGTTGCCACTTAGAACATATCCAAGGAGGAAGATGATAAGGGTTTGACTGAAGCCATTTATTGTACCAGTGTGCAGGAATGCAGGAAATCTGTAGAGCCCTGCAAGGAATTGCTAGATATGCTTATTCTCATTTTCTCCAGCTCTCCTCCACCCCTCCCCACTTCTCTCTCACTCTGATAATGGATTCTATAGTCTTAATATTTCAATTTTGTTTTGTCATTCTTCTAATTTAAAACATTTTAAATGACATTTAAAAAATATAATTTGTCACCATTAAAAGCAAACCTTAGTGGTGTTATTTTCTGAAGAAACTACGACAATGAGTGAGATTACAGTTATACTGGGACTTTTCGGTGGTTGGGTTTTTTGCTCTTTTTAGTTTATTCTACCTAAAATTTAAGCATCGGGGCCGGGGAGCTGGCTCAGTAGAATAAACACTTGCCTGGCAAACATAAGGGCCTGAGTTCAATCCCCGGTTCCACAAAAAAAAAAAAAAAAAAAAAAAAAAAATTAAGCATTATATTGCTGATTTGTGTGTCAGTAGAGGATTTTCAGTGTAAGAATTGCCTTTAGTTAAATGAATTGTCTCTGTCAGGAAGCTTTTCAAGAAAATAACAGACTGAAGAATTTGCTCTGGAAAAGAGGCAAACAAAATCTGAATTTCTAGTTGAAGTATGGATTTAGATCAGATTATTTAACTTAGATAAGTCAATGGAGTTTCTCTGAGACATATTTGCTTAGGTCCTTTCAGGTTTGGTACTGTTCTTTAGTCACACTTGGTCATTAACAGCCTTCAAGAAGAGCCTTGAGATTTGTTCTTAATATGCATTCAGAAAAATTTTATTGATTATTAGCTGAATAAGGACAAATCCTGTCAAGGTACCCACAATTTAGCTCGGGGTGTGGATTTAAATACGGCAGTGTGTGTGTTTCAGAGATGTGTATGAGCGGTAGTGACTTTGTGGCTATTAGTCACTTTGTCTTCACTAGGAAAAATACCTGGCACCACAACATTTTTTTTTGGCATTTTAAAAAAATTTTATTGGTACATTTTAGTTACACATGATAACATTCATCATAGTGAATTTGTACCCATACATAGTATAACTTGGTTCTTTTTTTTTTTTTCCTCTCATTCCTCTTCCCTCCCTGCTTCATTTATAAATGCTTTGTTTCCAGTCTTTTTTTTTTTTCTTGTCCAATTTTTCCTTTTCCCCTTCCGCAGCCCTTGTTCCCTTTTTCATTTGAAAGTTTTCTTCCCATTCTCCGCTGTCCATTATACATTTTGTTTTTTGTTTTCTTTTTTAGTGGAACCAGGGATTAGAACTCAGGTCCTTGCGCTTGCCAGGGAAGTGCTTATTCCACTGAGCCATCTCCCCGGCCCCCATTATACATTTTGGCCCTTTTCAGTTTCTCACAACAGAAACAGTATGATACTGAAATAAGTGTCCAATTTATTTCACTTGAGTATGATCTCAAGGTGCATCCATTTAGTAGAAATGTCTCAAACTTATCCTTTATGGCAACGTACTCCTTTGTATACAAAAAACTACATCTTCTGTTCATGGACATTTCTGCTGTTTCCAAGATTTAGCTGTTAACAAACTGCTGCTGTATTCGTGAATGTGCATATATTGCTGTGGTATGACACTTCTTTCTTTTGTAGAACTGGAGATTGAACTCAGGACCTTGTGCTTGCCAGGCAAGCACTTATTCTATTGAACTATCTCTGACACAGTTCTTTTGGAAGATGGAGAATAATGGTCAAATGAATCTCTAGTTTTTGTTTTTTGAGGAATCTCCACTGATTTCCACAGTGGTTCCTTTTTCTCCATACACTTGCCATCATTTGTTACTTGTTGATTTCTTTTTGGGTGTTTTTGAGACAGTCTCATTCTATAGTGTAGGCCACCCTTGAGCTTGCTCATGCAGCCCAGGCTGGGCTCAAATTCAGATATCCTCATGCCTCCCTTTCTGGGTGCTGGGATTACAGGTGTGTACTACCACACTTGGCTTGATTTCTTTCTGGAGTGAGATGCAATTTCAGTGTTTTATTTTGTATCTCATGTAGTGGGTGATGTTGAACCTTTTTTCATATATTTGCTATTTCTACTTTATCTGAGAAGTGTCTTGAGTTCAGATGTCGATTTTTGAATTGAGTTTA